CATAAGGGGCTCCACATGGGGGACATAGACGGCCCACGCATATGCTATAAGGGGCTCCACATGGGGGACATAGACGGCCCACGCGCATGCCATAAGGGGCTCCACATGGGGGACATAGACGGCCCACGCGCATGCCATAAGGGGCTCCACATGGGGGACATAGACGGCCCACGTGGGACGTATCAGTTTTGTGTAAGGCTGTAGAGAGCAGCGTTAGCTAGCAGCACCTCTTTTTGGACCCCCTTACCCTTTTAACCTTTTGGGATCTCTGCACCCCCCCCCCCCCCAGCACCTCAGTGTCTCTTGTCCCCCTTGCCGATGACCTTCCCTCGTCAGCCTCTCTCTCCTGGGACTCCCCCCTTGCCCGCCCCTCCCCCCTTTTACTCCCCAGGCTTTGCTCGTAATTAATTTCATGCCAATGGTGTCGGTACGCCAGCTTTACCATCCTGACAGCCAAATTAAACATTGATTTCTCTGACGCCTCCATTGCACCCTCTGCTCCCTCTTACGCTAATGACGAATCCCCCCGTGGCACCAACTAACTCCAAGGATCACTGTGAAGGGCCATCCGCCCATCCATCCATCCATCTATCCAACCATCCATTCATCTATCCATCCATCCTTCAATTTGTCCTTCAGTCTGTCTATCTATCTATCTATCTATCTATCTATCTCTCTGCCATGTATACATATATGTAGGTATCTTCATATGTGACTCTTCAGGCATGTCTTCTGTATGGACACAGACACTGTAGGACACTGTACAGTACAGCTGCTCAGCATCCTATGTCGCTTGCATCCCATGTTTACAAACCGAGATCATCATTAAGACTACAAAGTCAACAGCGCAAAGCTATGAAATAAATACAAACTGAATGTGGCGACCGGAGGGTCGAGTGATAAAAAAAGGTGGAGTGAGTGTTATCCCGAGGGCCGTGGGTTTGCTGGGGCTCCCGCTGAGAAGCTTACGGCGCATGAAGCTGGGCTTCACAATGATGGCACATGTCCGTATTGACATTAGGGAGACACGGACAGGATCCATCCGTCTCGCCCTGGAGAGCTTGACTCAAGAAGCACGGGGGCTACAATTAGTGGGGTTCTCTCTGCAGAGGTGAGCCCAAGTGCGCCTGAGCTTAATCCTCCTCTCCGGATCACAGGTTCACACTTTATGCGAGGGTGGCTAATCTGCAGGCGGGCTTTAATGGTTATAATTAAACTGCTAATCACTCTTTAAGACCTGTCTGAAAGGACTGAGCAGAGAGTCGCGATCCCGAATTATCTGCGCCCGTAATGGCGTTGCCGGCATGCGGCTCGTCTTGGTCCTGTGAAAAACGGGCCTCTTTCAGCTCGCAGGGATGCAGTTTTGTAAAACAGATGCGCAGAGTCGTGTCTCTCACTGCCTGCTCAATTTACAGCCCCCGAAAGACTTGCCGCCACACCATATCCGGACTCGTCGTATCTCGTCTTTTTTTTTTTTTTTTAACGGTAAATATTGCCGTTGGGGGAGCTCAGCTGTCCCGTGTGGCCAACCACAGTAGACTCTCACACGGTAAACGATAAAAACGTCCCGAGAGATCGGTGCCTGACTGGGGCCGTGTTTACATTTCGAGCCGTGAATGGGTGATGCAGCTGGATTTTTAATGGGACCAATTCAAGCATTTTGCTCGAGGGTACGATTGCCAGGCCTCCCTCGTACCTAAAGTAGCTATCTCTCGTTATGGGCCCGTGTTCCTAAGCACATTTTCTGCTGCCCCATTAATAGAGAAGAACGGCGAACTTGATCATCAGACCCTTATCGTACGGCGCACAGGCGGAGTATAAAAGCAGAAATAAAATGAATTATGTGTTTTTGTTTTTTTTTATTGTATGGGAGGGTGTAATGCTGAGTGCTGTGATATACTCCATAAAATGGTCAATTCCAGTAATGCATTCTCTGGTTTCCTCTTGCCGTCCGAAGAGGTGAACTTCAGGTGAACCAGTAGCTATAAATTTAGGGAAAAGTTACTGCTGTTGTATTTTTATGCGGTGATAGGGCATGATTGGTGATGATAGCGCTGTAAGCGCCAGACGCTAACAAACACGTGAAATATGTCCCCGTCTGTCTGAGTAGGTGGTGTACAAGAACAACGACTTCAAGCTGGAACTGTCCCGCCTGGCCATCGAGCGCGACCCCAAGATCAGCCTGCACGGCGACCTGGTCTTCCGCTGCGAGGATGTGGCCGCCCTGGATCCCGTCACCTTCGAGACCCCAGAGTCCTACATCGCCCTGCCCAGGTGGAACACCAAAAAGACGGGCTCCATCTCCTTCGACTTCCGCACCACGGAGCCCAACGGCCTGCTGCTCTTCAGCCACGGCCGGCCCAAGGAGCAGCGTGCCGACCGCCACCCCAAGGTCGACTACTTCGCCATCGAGCTCCTGGAAGGCTTCCTCTACCTGCTCATGGACATGGGCTCTGGCAGCGTGAAGATGAAGGCCAGCAACAAGAAGGTCAATGACGGCGAGTGGTGCCACGTCGACTTCCAGAGGGAGGGCCGCAAAGGTGAGGCCGTGATCGATAGCCTCGGCGGGGGCTTCAATGCCGCATCGCAGCGGCTCTTTAATAAACGGGCGGCCATTCTGTCCTGCCATTGAATCGGGGTCCTCGACATCATAAAACAGATGAGCTGCGGTGACAGCCGGTGCGGTGGGTGGCGGGAAGGCAGCGCTGCGACGAAGGATTGGGCCGCTCCTTTGGATATAGGATATAAATGAGCGTTACGGACAGACGTCCTTTACTTCAGAGGTCATGATCACCGAGTGAAGTATGAGGGGCTGCAGCTGTAATCGTCCAATCATATTTGTCGCTTGCCCTCTTCCCTGATTGGTGGATCTTTAACTCACACCTCATTTAGGGCGTCAGGTGGGAAATAACAAGCGTCCTGGTGTACAGCAGCTTCCCAATCAATTCTGGATATTTCAGTTGGTTTAAAAGAAAATCCTTCGTTGTTGGCCTTGGCTGTATTATCTCCACCTCCATCTCCATCCCTCTCTTCTTGTCCCGGAGCTTGCCCCCCCCCCCCACTTCCTTCTCCCGCCCGCCGCACGGCAGCGGGAGAGCCCAGAGGCGGGGCTGGTGTTCCGGATCCGTGTCACGATGGCGTGTAGGTAGCCCCGCTGAGCACGCTCCAGCCCCCGCTGTAACTGCAATTCAATTGACAATTAAGAGGAAAGTTTAAATTAAGAGGAGAAACCGAGCGTGACGCCCACATGCAACCCCCCCCCCCCCCCCC